AGTTTGAGAAGACAAAAAAAGTTCTGGAGATGGATGGTGGTGATCGTCACACAACATATGAATGTACCACTGAACTGTACATTTTTAAATGCTTAAAATGGTAATTTTTCTTGGGCATTTTACCACAATAAAACAAAAACTTTTAAGGAAAAAAACAAGTCACTACTTTAAAAAGCCAAAGGTGCCAGGCACGGTTGCTCATGCCTGTAATTCCAGCACTCTGGGAGGCTGAAGCAGGTGGATCAGGTCAAGAGTTCAGGACAAGCCTGGCCAACAAGGTGAAACCCTACTAAAAGTACAAAAATTATCCGGGTGTGGTGGTGCATGCCTGTAATTCCAGGTATTTGGGAGGCTGAGGCAGGAGAATCGCTTGAACCTGGGAGGTGGAGGTTGCAGTAAGCCGACATTGCATCACTGCACTCCAACCTGGGGAACAGAGCAAGACTCTGTCTCAAAAAAGAAAAACTAAATAAATAAAAAGCTGAAGGCCAAATGTTTAATGAGGGAAATTAGAAGGCCAAATGTTTAATGAGGGAAATTAGAACACTCCAATTTAATATTTATGTGAACGAGGCACTGAGGAAACACTAAAATCCCAACAGACACTAACATGCAATCCAAAAACCTGCCATGTGCAACACTGGCCACTGTTTCACCTTTAAAGATGGAAAGGCTAAAAGTGCCTACCCTTGGGGTGACAATCATATAAGATAATCTGTGCACAGAGCAGCCCTTTGTGAGTGACTGTGGCCCTCACCACCACTGTGGGGACTGCTTCTAGTCTACCAATGAGCACACACACCCGTACCTGCTCCTTCATTGTCAGTGACACTTACTCTCACTGGCCGGAGAGGTTTCTTTGATCTGTTGGTAGTGTACTGCTGCAGTGGACAATGCCCGAGGGGCTGGCTTGGCCCCAACTTCCATCATCTTGGGGCAGTTTTGGGCATAGAACAACAGAGATTTGCCTGCTTTCTGCAGAAAGGCCTGGGGGACTCGGGATAAGAATGGGCAGCGGCGAACAACAGTCTCCATGTTCAAGAAGTATGCTGGCTCCTGTGGAAAGACTGATGATGAGTGACATCAACAGCTGTTAATAATCAGGCAAATATCACCGAAAGCTCATTGGATTCAGGTGTCACCTGCAGTTTCTATAAAGGGTACCCTGGAATACTAACACTTCTCCCTCAAAAATGCCTAAGGACAGCACTGATGTGAGACTCAGCTAAGGAATGGTGACCACATTTTACACGGGTCACCAACTTCTTCATTCCCCAGCTCTACACAAAGCAACTTCACCAAATGAAGTAAATACTGACAGTACATAGCCAAGGGGGCAGAAGGATGAAGCACAAGTCAAAAACAGGTTTGGGAGGCCAGAGGTTTCTTAGGGAGATGCACAGTGCAGATAAGACATCTTGGCTTACATCCAGGTGGAGAAGGGATGTTAGGGAAGAAGCCACTCATCTATCCAGACAGGGAAGACTATTAGGGATCCTGACTTTCTCCTGGTCCCCGCATCCCCGAAAGCACTCCTAAACCCGAGGAAGGAGTCCAGCATGCCCCCGAGTCCCTGAAGCAAGGATTCCTCCGCGGTCGTGTCCCCACAGCGGGAAGAACTGGGCATAACTGAGAAAGGAGGGGCACAAACGAGGGTAGGGGTATGAGGACCAGCGCCTTGGGACTCACTGGGGACGCGCAGGGGCTATAAAGTTGAGGGAGTTGAGTCTGGAGAAAGAAGGCAGTACTCGGGCAGTGGGGGTCAGAGGTGACCCGCGGTCGAGGTCTCGAGAATGACGGGAGGGGTATGAGAAGGGAATTCTAAAGCGGCGGGTTCAACCGGGAATAGCTGGAAGGGGCCGAAAGGGGAAAACTGAGGCGGCCGTCTAGGCAAAAGATCTGGAGGATAAACGCTGACCTCAAGGCGGCGGATGACTGGGACAGTGGGGGATGGGGTCCCAGCGCCCCGGGGAGAGGTGCCCCGGCTGACAGGACACGCGGGGGCTTCCCCGGCCGGCGCCGCACCTACCGCGCGGGCCCTCACCTGCGCTGGGGACTCTGCGGAGGCGGCGGCGAAGGAGGCGGGCACTCAAGCCGAGAAGTCCAAACGAACCGTTCGTTGCCCTTGTCCAGGAGCAGCCCCAGGCCGCGATCGCCGGCGCCTTAATATATAGCAGGAGTGACCGCTGCGCATGCGCCGTGGGCGCTGCCTTCTTCCGCGCAGGCGCGCCGCGTCGCCCTCGGCGAGCTGGGCGGGCGGGGCAGAGAAGCCCACTTCTTTGGCTCTGCGGTTATCCGTGCAGCCGGGGATTCCCCGGCTCGCCTGCCGGGAGGAGGAAGGGCCAGGCGGTGAGCGGACGAGGTCTTTTTTCCCGACCTCATCCTGCACTCTCCCCACCAACTACCCTGGGCTTCAGAACCCTACGCCCCGATTGTGGGGTATAAAATGGCAAGGTCGAGGCGGCTAGGGCCAAGTTGGGGGCTACAGGGTTGTTAAGATGGGTGTCTTGGACCTGGAGGAAGAAGGAGATCCAAGGGGTTCTGGGCCGAGGTGTTAAGCAGGATCCATCCCATCTGCGGCTTGCTTTGGAAACTGTGAACAAGGGCTTCCCGAAGGAGGTGGAGCTGATTGTATCCCCTACAGATGGAGTGGTCCTGGCAGGATGCGGAAGAAGCGGGACACTCAGCTGTGGCACTTTCCGGTCTAAGATGATCCAGAGGAGGCAGAGGAACAGGGCTGGATGGAACCCATCCATTCCACAGCTCTGAGCACTTGGGGCGGAGGGGGAGGCACAGGGCCTGACAATAGTTAGCATGTAACAAATATTAGCCACTATTTTTATTTTCCATCTGGGGTTGTCTGAAGCCCCTTGCTGGCCACCCTGGGCACCAGCAGGGTGGCTTAGGCCTCCATCCCAAAGGTCAGCGTTGGGCCATACCTCCATTGAGTTTCTCTGAGACAACACATGAAGTGTAGGGCTTGGCAAACCCCTCTCGGGAATGCCAGTCTGGCTTCCTTGCTCCACACCCTTCCCAGCTTGGCTTGGGCTGAGTTGGGCTGGGCCTGTGCCAGGCTCAGAGGTACTCTCCATTCTTGAGGAAAGGGCCGTTGAGAGTATTCCTTTCCCAGCTACGCATTAACAAGAGGGACAAAGTCCAGAATGATGGTGACCAGGGTGTGTCCAGGTACTTTGCATTTCCCTCTCTGAGCATCCAGCTGGCTGCAAGGCAGGTGAGGTGAGTCTCCACCTTCAGAGGAGGCACCTGGGTTCAGAGTGGCAGTGGGACCTGTCCAGGATGCGTGCTTTGGTCTGAGAGCTCAAGACCCAGTTCTGTGCCATTCTGCCAAGGAATCCTGGGCAGTGCCCATCACCCAGAGAAGATGAGAGAGAAAAGGTCAGCACTTGGACCCAAGTGCAGCTGTAAGTGGGAACAGAATAAGGATATTGAGTGCTTTGCTCATCTTTGGGCCTTGCTTTCCTTAGCTGGGCAATAGGATCATAACCCCTGAAATGCCTGCCTCACAGGGTTGTTTTTTGTTTTTTGTTTTGTTGTTGTTTTGTTTGTTTGAGACAGAGTCTCCCTCTGTTGCCCAGACTAGAGTGCAGTGGCACAATCTCGGCTCACTGCAACCTCTGCCTCTCAGGTTCAAGCGATTCTTCTGCCTCAGCCTCCCAAGCAGCTGGGATTACACCACCATGCCCAGCTAATTTTTGTATTTTTAGTAGAGATGGGGTTTCACCATGTTGGCCGGGCTGGTCTTGAACTCCTGACCTCAAGTGATCACCTTCAGCGTCCCAAAGTGCTGGGATTATAGGCATGAGACACTGTGCCCGGCCCTCACAGGGTTTTTGGGGGGGCGATCAGAGGAAAAGCCAAAGCAGAAAGAACTGGATAATGGAGTTGGGCATGGGTTTCAAATCCAGCTGTGAATCTTACTTGGCCATAGACTTGGGCAGGCCACAACCTCTTCAAGGCTTGGTTTCCTGATTTGTAAAGCTCTCCCAGCCCTGCCACTTGTGGCTGGCGGGAGGGTCAGGTGAAGTCCTGTATTTCAGAGGCTTATTGTTTAAACTGGCAAGTCCCTAGCCCTCTGGGAGTTTCCTGTTTAATATAGAGAAAGATTGGGAAACAAGGCCAACTCACATGGAAAGTGAAATAGAGTGTTGTAAGCAACTCCAGATGGAGGAGGAGGAGGAGGAGGCTATTACTCCAACAGGCGCTGAAAGAGGAGGATCCCAACCACGAGGAAGGCTTCCAGAAGAGAAGCGAGTGCTGGCTAGGAGGGTGGATCTACATGCGACTGGGAGACTGGGTGAAGGCTTGGATGGAAAAGGCTCAGCCCTGTGGGGGTGGCGGTTGGGGGATCAGCATGAGTCAGCCCGAACAGCTGGGCAATGGGAGTATGGTCAGGACCTGGCACCAAGAGGTCAGACCAGAAAGGCCCTAAACGAGCCACAGTGTTTCCCAGTGTCAGGGCCCAAAGAACCACCCCCAGGGTACTGGTCAAAATGCAGATTCCTGGGCCACACTCCTTTGATTTGACCCAGAAATCTGCATTTTAACCAGCCCACCTTTCTGGTGAGGTAAGGGTGAGGTATCTTGAGATATGTTTCTTGAGTGGTTCAAGGTTTGAGGCCTTGAAGGGCAAGGCATAAGCCATGAGTTCTAGTCCTAACTCTGAGATCTTGAGCAAATCACCTCATGCCCTAAGTCTTAGTTTTTGTGTCTGTGAAATGAGAATGACCCCACCTACCTCAGTGATGAGTCTGGGTGGGCCCTATTCTGCTCCAGTTGTGATCCTTCTGGGCCTCCTCTTCCTGCCTCTGCCCCCTCCTCCTCTTCTTCTTTCTTTTCTTCTTCTCCTTCTTCGCCTGTCATGCCTCCCTTGTCATTCCCTCCTTCCCCATCTTCTTTTCCCTTTCTCTCCCTCTGCCCTCCTTCCCTCCTTCTCCCTCCTCCCTCCCTCCCTCCCTTCCTCTCTCCCTCCCTCTCTCCCTTCTCAGAGCCACAGTATAAACTCATCTTATCACTTGCTCTGGCCCTGGGCAGCTGGAGTTGAGGCAAGGTCAGGCCCCATCCCAGGGATGGCGCTGGGGCCTTTTTTCCCTCCCACCCAGTCTGCATCATGGTCTTCGTCACCATCACTATCACCATCAGGGGCTGCTGCACATAGTACCACCCAATGGTCAAGGCAAAAGGAAAATGTCAACCCCAGCCCCCAGAATTCACCCTTTTTGTTCTGGGCCTCAGGAACTATTTTTATTTTTCCCCCTTAAATAGCTGTTTATTAGCAGTGTGCTGGAAAGGGTGATGGAGCTGGCATTCACAGACAATACCACACACCACTGTCACGAGGGAGGCAAGAGCGCAGGCAAGCCGGCCTGCAGCCCCGAGGAGGAGTCCCCCTCTTCAAGAGAGTGTGGGAGGGGGCAGGGCCTGGAGTGTTGGGGGGCAGCCTGAGAACACCTCCGTGTACTAGGCGTGGTTAAAGACGAAGAGGAACTCATTAGCAGCAGCCCCGGCCTGACCGCTTGGAATGTACTTTCCTTGACAGGTGAGGCTATTGGCCAGGGCTCACTTGACATACTCCTTCTGCACAGCCTTCAGGTTCTTCTTCCTGCCCCAGGCCTTCAGGGCAGAGGCCTGCAGGGTTCAGCTGTAGGAGAAGGTCAGGGCCCAGGGCTTCAGGAGGGGGCACTTGTTAATGGCATTGAGGTTAATGGACACCTCCTTGCTCTGGCTTCCAGATAGGAAGTGATCCCAGGGACAGCAGGGGACACTGTGCAGTGTAGCACTTAGTTTTTGTGTCTGTGAAATGAGAATGACCCCATCTGCCTCAGTGATGAGTCTGGGTGGGCCCTGTTCTGGCCCAGTTGTGATCCTTCTAGGCCACTTATTCCCTAGAGTGTAGCGCTTGTGACAGTTGCCTTGGCAATCTCCTTGTGAGAAAACTTCTGGATGCAGGCTTGGCCCGGGGTGACCATACTGGACTTCAGCAAGGTGCCTTCCAGGTAGATGTGGTGGTCACTCAGAGCCTTGTAGACAGCAGCCACACCTTCTTGGTTACATACTGACAGTACTTCAAGTCATGGTCCCCACTGAGGAGGATCTCAGCCTCCACGATGAGCACAATGCCATTCTGCTGGCAGATGCTGGCATAGCGGACCAGGACATTGACACACTGCCATTTTCTTTTGTTTTCTTTCTTTTTTTTTTTTTTTTTTTTTTTTTTGAGACGATATCTCAGTCTGTCACCCAGGCTGGAGTGCAGTGGTGCAATCTCGGCTCATGCAACCTCCGCCTCCCAAGTTCAAACGATTCTCCTGCCTCAGCCTCCTGAGTAGCTGGGATTACAGGTGTGTGCCACCATGCCCAGCTCATTTTTGTGTTTTTAGTAGAGGAGGACGTTTCACCATGTTGGCCAGGGTGGTCTCGAACTCCTGACCTCAAGCGATCCGCCTACCTTGGCCTCCCAAAGTGCTAGTATTACAGGCATGACCCGCTGCGCCCAGCTGATGTTGGCATTTTCAATGATGGCGAGGGCTGAGGGGGTGTGTTTCCCAATCTTCAGCACGTGATGCCACTTGGCAAAGTGGGTTCCATCCTTTTTTGTTTGTTTGTTTGTTTTTTTTTTTTTTTTTTTTTTGAGACGGAGTCTCGCGCTGTGTCACCCAGGCTGGAGTGCAGTGGCGCGATCTCGGCTCACTGCAAGCTCCGCCTCCCAGGTTCACGCCATTCTCCTGCCTCAGCCTCCGAGTAGCTGGGACTACAGGCGCCCGCCACCACGCCCGGCTAGTTTTTTGTATTTTTAGTAGAGACGGGGTTTCACCATGTTAGCCAGGATGGTCTTGATCTCCTGACCTCGTGATCCACCCGCCTCGGCCTCCCAAAGTGCTGGGATTACAGGCTTGAGCCACCGCGCCCGGCCCCATCCTTCTTGTCTGGGGCACAGCGCTCAGACAGCCCATCCAGCCCTTGGGTGGTAGTCTCATCATTTGCCCTCGCCAGGGGTAGCACCCCCTTTTCTACCTTGATGCCCACAACACTGCCTTTGGATTTGATAACTTGGGGGAAGGGACACCTATCATCCACCTTTTGGTACAGCATCTCATGGAAGAGGATGACGCCCTCGATGCAGGGGTTCATGCAGTTGTCAGCTGTCAGTCGCAGCTGGCGGTAGAAGCACTGGTTCTCCTTGGTATTCTTGGTGCCAATGGACTGCAGCCACTTGGCAACTCTTCCAGTGGACTCATCTGCAGCCGGGATGCTCTTGCCCAGAGCCACGATGTGATGCGTGATGTCAGACAGCTCCTTCTTCTGCTCTGGGGTCAGCAAAGGGTATTGGTAGGGCATGGTACTGGTGTTAACAAGTTCCTGGCACAGGAGAGGGGTGGGTTTGCAGGATGTGGTGGTGGAGGGTGGCAGGCTGGCAAGTGGACTCAGGGAGAGAAAGCAGCACTCGTCACCAGGACCCATTCTCCCAGGAACTATTTTTAGCAGCACCCCTCCAAGAAGGTGAGGTAGCTCAGTCTGGGCAAACCTGCTGCTTTCTTCTGGGCCTCAGTTTCCACATCTGTCAGCCAAGCAAGAAATCCTGCATCCTTCTCAAGGAGAACCCAGGTGGACATAGGACTCCTCCAACTTGTGCTGCTGCTCCTTGGGGTGTCAGTGCCCTTCTATGCAGTGGTAGATGGGGGCCAGCCTCACACAGTGGGTAGAGGATCTGGAAACAGCTCAGCTCTGCCCTGAACAGTTGGAGGCATGAGCTCCAGTTTACAGTGATGGGGCCCAGGAGCCACCATGTGAGATGGAATTTCAAGGTTGGCAGAGCAAAAGCGTTCTGAGGTCTCTGGCGCTGGCCTTGTCCTAACCCTGCCTTTGGAATCCCATTAGACTGTGGTTGCAGAGCAGGTGAGCTCTGGTTTGCGAGAAGAGAGAGAGGGGCTGGAGTGGAGCAAAGCCAATAAATGCTTCAGGAGGCAGGTCTGGAGTGAGGGGGCTTTGCAGGGAGCAGCAGCCCCCATCCTAGAGAGCAGAAAATGTCCCAGAGGACCCATGAACCCAGCCCTCCAGCCTAGCAGCCACAAACTGTGGCCTAGATAAATTCTGTGTGGCCCACATAGTTCTTGCCTTTTTTTTTTTTTTTTTTTTGAGACGGAGTCTCGCTCTGTCGCCCGGACTGGAATGCAGTGGCGCAATCTCGGCTCACCACAAGCTCCGCCTCCCGGGTTCACACCATCCTCCTGCCTCAGCCTCCCAAGTAGCTGGGACTACAGGCACCTGCCACCAAGCCCGGCTAATTTTTTGTATTTTTAGTAGAGACGGGGTTTCACCATGTTAGCCAGGATGTTCTCCATCTCCTGACCTTGTGATCTGCCCGCCTCTGCCTCCCAAATCCTCGGCCTGGGATTACAGGCATGAGCCACCGCGCCTGACGTTCTTGTTTTATAATAAAATGTGAATTCCTTGTCAACATTTAACCAGCAGGAGATTTCTCATCAAGCCTCAGATGTTCAGCTTCTTTTGAGGAATCAGCAGACCTGGAGCGCCTGGGCTGGCCCAGGCAGGGTGTGCTGTCTCCAATTCTCTATCAGCCCTCCCTTCAGTGTGTCCCCAACCCTGAGGAATGTAATGTCCAAGCAGCGACACCTTCCTGGCCTTGTAGGCACCAGTGGTGTGTTCCCAGCCCTAAGCCATTTTACAGCCAGGGAGACTGAGACTCAGAGAGGGGAGAGGACTTGCTCGAGGTCACACAGAAAGTGATGTTTGGGCTGCAGGGAGACCCAGATGTCCTGATTTCCGCGTCTCCCACACTGCGCTCACAGCCTCTGGAGGAGGGTCTGGGGTCAGTGGCTAGGGGAAGGATCAGGCTAGCTATTAGTGGCTCCCTGGAAGGGACTGGCCCAGAGGTGGATTCCTCCATGCTTGTCATCATCCCCCCAAGCCCCTACATGTGGATCAGGCAGATTAGGGCCCCTAATGGGGCAGAGGCAGGCACAGGCTGAGCCCTCTCCTGTGGCCAGCTGTGCCTGCCCTTGCCTCATCACCTTCAAGGGGCCCTGGTCTGCCTGATCCACTGCCGGGGCTTGGGGGGATGAGGATGCGCAGTGTGGGGAAGCTCCCTCCCTGTCCTGAGCTGCTGGGCAGACAGACATCAGCAAAGAAGCCGTAGCAGGCTGTGACCAGTGTGGACAAGGGTGCTGGATTGGAGAACGGCGGCATGGGAAGGGGGACCCACCTCAGGGCTGCACCCTGGTGTCAAGGAGATGACACCTGGGACAGAATGACCAGGCTGAGGGGCCCTCAGTGAAGGCTAGAGGGAGCCTGATATGGAGAAGGAGCATGGAGGAAGACAGGGAGGCTGGAGTCAAGAGAGCAGGGGAGAGGGAGGGGTGTGTGGTAGAGCCAGGCCAGGAGACGTTAGAATCCTGCCATCATCAACAGTGCAATTATCCACCAATTCAGGGACCTTATTTCTCTCTGGCCCTGTTGGCATTTAAAGGCCTACCCGCACCCCTTCTTTCCAGACACAAGGGAGCTGGAACAAAGGGGAGCAGGAGTGAGAAGACAGTGAGCATGGATCAGCTAGGCAGGGCCAATAAGGAGAAGGCCAGGGAGCATGCGAACCTGCTGAGCAAAGATGGCAGCAGCAGCCGGTGTGTGCAAATGTTTCACCTGGCTCTGTGATTATATGCACAACCCCAGAGCCCCCACACGGCCACCCTACAGATGTCAGTACAATTATTAACCCATACAAGGGACAGGGGCTCAGAATAGTTAAGTTGCCCAAGGTCATGCAGCCAGCAAGTGGGGAGTGTGGCTGACCTCCTGGCCCTTCTGGCTTCCGGTCCAGCACTCCACCCTGTGGGGCCGGGGTGAAGAAGAAGGGAAGAATGAGGCTGGGGCAGCTTCAAGGGTCTCAGGTCTCAGGGGAGGCATTTTTCTATTTCTGGGTGACAGGACCAGTTTGGGCAGGCAGATGGGGGCACTTAGCCAAGGAGGCTGGCCAAGACTCTGGCCAGCCGCCGGCCACCCAACTCAGGAGAGGTTGCCCACTTCCAGGAACTTCTGGGCAGCCAGCCACAGCCTCAGAAGGCAGGACTCCTTCCAGACCCCACACACTGGTGGATACTGCTCACTCTCTCCCCTGCACCTGGCCAGCTATTCTGGGCCCAGTTGCACAGCACCCAGGGCCCACAGCCTGGCAGAGGCCTCCCACCCTCCTTGGCTCCCTCCTTGGAGGTTCCTAGAAGGAAGAAAGGGGGCCCTTCTGGAAAGAGGAAAGGGTTTGCTGCCACCCTAAAACCCATCTCCTCTCCCTGCTCCCACAGTCACCCCCTTATTGAATGATCTGTGTTAACGGTAGTTAACAGCCACTACCAAATTGAATTGTGTCTCTACTGTAGTGTGGTACCAGGCACTGTGTGTTTCAACTCTCACAGGCCCCCTGTGAAGCAGCTACCTGCAGCCCCATTCTCAGAGTGTGGAGGCGGTGCGCTGCCTGGGTTCGACTCCCCGCTCCATCCACTGTGTGCTCTATGTTCTTAAGCAGTTGGCACAGCCTCTCTGAGCTTGAATTTCCTCATGTACAGAAAGGGAGTCTTATTTTCTGTACTGGCTAAATGCTGTGTGTCAACTTGGCAAGGCTATGGTGCCCATTGTTTTATTAAATACTAGTCTAGGCCAGGTGTGGTGGCTCATGCCTATAATCCTAGCACTTTGGGAGGCCGAGGCCCTGGCCAACATGGTGAAACCCCGTCTCTACTAAAAATACAAAAATTAGGTGGGCATGGTGGCATGCGCCTGTAATCCAAGCTACTCTGGAGGCTGAGGCAGGAGGATCACTTGAACCCGGGAGGCAGAGGTTGAAGTGAGCCGAGATCAAGCCACTGCACTGCAGCCTCGGCAACAGTGAAACTCCATCTCAAAAACAACAACAACAATGACAAAAAAACAAAACAAAACAAAACAAAAAACCTAGTCTAGATATTACTGAGAAAGTATTTTGTACATGTAATTAATATCTAAAACTGTTGACTTTAAGTAAAGGAGATTATCACCAGTAATATGGGCCTCAATCAATCAACCGAAGGCCTTCAGAGCAAAAACCAAGGTTTCCTGGAAAAGGAGAAGTTCTGCCGCAAGATGTAATGTAGAGATATTGTCTGAGCTTCAAGCCAGCCAGCCTTCCCTACCAAGTTCCAGTTTATCAGCCTCCACGGTCATGTGAACCAATTCCTTAAAATCCATCTCTCTCTCTCTCTCTCTCCTATTGCTTCTGTTTATCTGGAGAACCCTCTCAAGGGTTTCCACTCACAAGGTCGATGAGACACTGCTGCTGTGATTGGTGGAGGCACCTGTTCCTGGAAACAGCATGCAGGTAATATTAGCTCTGGGCTACAGATGAGGGAACTGAGCCTTGGGAAGGTGACTTGTCCAAAGTTTCAGTGCAGGAGTCAGGATGTAAGCTGGGCCTGCCTACCTGCAGCTGCACCGCAATCACTGGGTCTTCACCTTGTCATCCACTTCCTTGTCAAGACCCTGGGACCAAGCTACCCAAGGGGCTACTGGTGGCACCCTCTCTCCAGGACTTGCCTTTGAATTTAATCAAAACCCTCAGGCCCTGGTATGGGAAGTGAGACTAGAGGCTGTTGAGTCCCCACTGACACTGAGTTAACGGATTCTTATGCAAGACTAGCAGGCTTGTGATGCCAACACCAACGTTCACCTGCCTTAGAATTGCCATGGCCTTGATGGGGCCTTTGGAGTTGAGAGTGAAATCAGCAAAGGAGAGCTAAGTGACAACCCCTGACCTTGGGGAAGACTGCTCAGCCCTGCTCCTCACTCTGTAGACCTAATAAGCCTTAGCTTTTGCAGCATAGACCTGGGGTCAGCAGTGCAGAAGCCCATAGGGTCCAGACAGGTGAGGACAGTGGGTACCCTGGACCCCTGGGCTGAAGGACAGACACATTTCAGCTCTGGCTCCTGGTGTGTCCAGAGCTGCTTCTTGTATTTCTAGAAGAGACTCATATCCAGATTTTTTTTTTTTAAGAGACATGGTCTCTTGCCGGGCACGGTGGCTCACGCCTGTAATCCCAGCACTTTGGGAGGCCGAGGCGGACGGATCACGAGGTCAGGAGCTCGAGACTATCCTGGCTAACACAGTGAAACCCCGTCTCTACTAAAAATACAAAAAATTAGCTGGGCATGGTGCCGCGCGCCTGTAGTCCCAGCTACTCAGGAGGCTGAGGCAGGAGAATGGCGTGAACCCGGGAGGTGGACCTTGCAGTGAGCCGAGATCGCGCCACTGCACTCCAGCCTGGGCGACAAAGCGAGACTCCATCTCAAAAAAAGAAAAAAAGAGACATGGTCTCACTCTCTCCCCCAGGCTGGAGTGCAGTAATACAATCATGGCTCACTGCAGCCTCAACCTCCTGAACTCAAGTGATCCTCTAGACTCAGCCTCCTGAGTGACTGGAACTCAGATGTGCACCACCATGCCTGGCTAATTTTTAATTTTTTTGTAGAGATGGGGTCTTATTATGTTGCTGGGCCCTGGCCTCAGGTGATCCTCCCACCTTGGCCTCCCAAAGTGCTGGAATTACAGGTGTGAGCCACTAGGCCTGGCCTAATCACATACAGACTTTTATATGAGCACTTTGAATTTTCATTTTTTTAAATAACAAAAGCTTATTTATTTGAATAGATATCTGCATATGATAATGTAAATAGTGTGACAGAGTAAACAAAGAGATTTCCCTTATCCAGGTATCTTTCCATACACAACCACTACTCCTGAGTTCTCATAGGTCCTTTCAGAAATATTCTACTTATTCATTCAATATTTATCAGTTGATCACCTGAACATATAAAAAAGTTTTTTTTGTTTGCTCTTTGCTTTTTGTATTTAATACTACACCTTGAAAAGGGCTGCATCCTTTTTGACAGCTGCATAGTATTCCACCCTGCTGATGCACCATGATTCACTTGTCTAGCCCCTTACTGTTCATTTGCTAGTTTCCAGTGGGTTACTTCTATCAGTGTCCTTGAACATATTTCTTCATGTGGGGTGA